CTCCTTCTGCTATGGCTGCGCTGTAAGTGCTATATATGCCTCGCGCTTCTCTTCTTTGCCTAAACTACTATTGATGTCAAAATAAAATTCCTTCTACCCGTTTAATCCATTACTAATACGTGATTGTTGTTTTACTTTAAAAAAAAAAATTCACTTACATCCCAAATAAGATTCTTTTTACTCGATTCTACGGGGAAAATGATTTTTGTTCCTTACTTTCTTATTTGCGGTTAATCAGTAGCTTTCAGTCATGCATTGTTTTGTTTGTTGGAGAATTTCACAATGTTTTTTTCGCTTTCGTTAAAAAAAAATCGTTGCAGTTAAAATTGAACTTGTAATTACTAATTATAATATTATTGTAAAAAATTCAGCTATATCTTGATTCAATTCATATAACTTTATCTCTTATGGTAAAAATGAATATATATATATACATACTTTATGCTACGAATTCAAACCGAAAGCATCAATGCTCAAGTATGGTAGTTGGGGTCTCGTTTGTTCGTTTTAGCTACCTGCCTGCAGTAGGAATCCAAACATGGAAATTTAAAATATTATTCTTATTGTTTTCTAAATATAACTAGCGTGGGCCCCGGCCATTTGGCCGGACGAAGATGAGGTATGAAATTTGATAATGTAATGGGGTGTATAGCTTATTGTTGTATAGTTTTTTTTGTGGGGAAACACGTGATAAAAATAGTGAATTTTAGTAGAAAAGAGACATGAATGATGCAACGAATAAAAAATCAGTCTTATGAACCAAAATCAAGTACATGTTACCTTGTGAAACAATATTGTTTCTGGTAATATGATGAGGTGGAGTAAGTTTTATAGAAACCAAATTCTAGAAAATCGAATAAAAAATCGCATATCCCGCCGATTTTCGGGAAATGAGCATCTCACAATCGTTGCTAGCTTTTACTCGGCCCGTTGGCCGATTAATTTGCTTTATAAAACTTTCATCTTCTCATCATTGTGCTTTCTGGTTTTTTGCCAAGCCATGATAAAATCTAAAGAAATCAAGAATGAACAGCACGATTTGGGATAGGAACCACCGTTCCTGTATCCCTAGAAAATGGTGGTAAACACGGACTCACCTGCCAAACTGGTTTGGATTGAGATTTTTATAGGGTATCAGAGAACCATGTGATTATAAATTAGACTTGATCAAAATGGGCCAAAACTTGAAATTCAGCTTGTTTGACCGACCCATGCCAAACTCTAATTATTCTTTACTTTTAAACTTTATATTTGAAAATAAAAAATAATGAAAGAAAAAAGATGACTGCAATTCACCATTTGCACATCACTGATTCGGGAATTAAACTATAGAATTTCGAAAGGAAACTGAAAATGTTTAGGATCGTTTTAATGTTAAAAATAACCAAATAGATATTTCTGTTTAGTTTTTTACTAACAAATACCAAACGATTCCCTATAATATACACTATAATTTAATCATTATGATATCAAATAATTACATAATATATATTTGAAATGATAAAAATTGGACTAATTGAGTTGGTCGAAGTTGAACCATTGAATAACTTTAAAATACATTATATTTTAGCCACTAAGATATAAAATAATAGCATAGTATATATTATGCTAGAGAAAATAGCTTGTTTTAGAATGGCAAACCCATGATGTTCATTTGTTTTATTTGATGGGCAAATCCCATGTAGGTCAGACCCGTTCAACTCTTTTATTTTATGATTAGCAGTTAGCCCATTAGAATCCATGCATTAATTTATTGTTAATTTTTTTCTTTTTAGCAATAAAAAGGAGTATTGGTTTTGCCTTTTCATATATATATATTTTACCACCATGGAGAAATAAAAGGACTTAAAGAAAAAAATTGACACTCCTGGACCCGTTTAAATCCACATGTGTACGGTAAGTTGGCCCGTTCCACAGAGGAAAAAGAAAAAAATTGACACTCCCTATTCTACTCTTCCTACAAACGCTCCTGGAGCAGGGAATTTTAAATGGGGGAAGAGTTTTTTCCTCTATGCAATTATATGTTTTTAATTTAAAAAGATACAACAAATGTACTTAGTGTGATTGGTTATGATCTTTGTTTTTCTTTAAAATGGTCATGGTTCGAATCCTAGTAAGTGTCTTTTTAATGAATAAAAAAAAGTAATTGTGAAGACCAAAATGTCCTTCCTACTTTCACTCTGGATGCAGGAAATTTGAAATGGGGCTTCAAGTTTTTTCATTTGGCTTTTATTTATTGTGTAGATAGATTTTGTTTTCTTTCCTTAAGTGGAACAACGTCAGCGGAATTGGGCCTCAGATATTCCTCGGCTTGATGTGAAAGTATTTCTTAATGAATTGACGTGAAAGGAGGTTTTGTAATGGTTGGTATAAAATTTGTAACATACTTTTATTTCAGCTATTGTGCTCGAAGGTTTATTTAATTTTATGATATTACAAGCGATTTTATAGAGTAATCGTGTATTTAAATTTTTATAATATCAAGATTGATTTAAGCATAAAACATACATAATGAACTTGTACAAAATTCAAATTTGTAAGTTGAATTTCGTTTAAATAAACAGGTATGAGAGTTATCTGTTCGAGTCTTGTGAGTTTCATGTGTCTTGAAAAAGATGAAAAATTGAAGAATTTTCTCTGTTATGGTAGGTCCGGAATTAATTCTCGTGTATGATTGATCGTAATAATTCAGGAGTTTAAATACTGTTTAGAGATTTGAATCATATTATATTATTAATTCATTCTTATATAAATTACAATACCTACTTAAAATTAGGGGTGACTATACGGTCCGCTACGGTTAAATTGGCCCAAATTGATCCGGTCCAGTCCGGTCTTTTTGAAAATATAAGGACGAAAGATTGGATTGGATACAGTCCGGTCTTGATCCGGACCGGTCTTGACCCGGTCCGGACCCAATTCGATCTTGATTTTATATTGAACTTGTGGGGATTTGAGTGGCCTAAGGCCTGAAAGGGTGAGAAGTTGGTTAAGTTTTGTACTAAGTGCAAAGGTTTGTGACCGATTATGCAAATTACCCTTAAGTTTTGGGTGTTGAGCTCTCTTATCCCGTCTTTATCCAGTTTTCGATCCGGTCCCGAACGGTTTTTTACCTCATATCTAAGCCCAAAGATTGAATTGAATTGTTTACTATCCGGTCTCGGTCCGGGTTATACGATCCAATTTCGAGTAAAACCAAAAAACCCGAACCAAATAGCCAGCCCTAGTTAAAATACTTGATTGGGTTTTGAATAAATATATTTTTGTGGGTAAAGAGAGAGTGTGTAGATTGATTGGTTTAATTTGCAGCTGTCATATTCATCGCCAGCGGAATCCGGAATCATGGAGGATTTGCACCTCTCCATTGCTACTGTAAGTATCTGCCCAATGTATTAGGATTTTGACTCCTCTGTCTTTTTAGCCTATCCTTTTCAGTCCTTGTCACCTTTCCTAAATGGACAATTTCACATCATAGTCTTTCATAGTGAATACTCAAAACACTGCAATTAATTTTTTATGGTTGTCAAAAACAATTTCACTTGGCTACTAGGAGAAGGTGGTGTAGGCATCGTTTTCGCTCGTGACTACTCATATGATTTGTGATGGGATGACCAATTGTCTGTGAGGGTGCTAAGTGTTATAACCACTTATTTTCGAAATGGTTATTGACAACTTACAAAGATTTTAGTGTCAACTGAATAAGATCTTTTTAGAATAAAAAAATCCCAGTAAGATCGGTTTAATTTGTCGATATTCTCGATATTAGTAAAGTGGAAAATAGGTAAAAATTCACTAAATTAGCATGAGACGATAACATGGCGACGTATTGGAATGAAATTACCACTTATATTTCTCACGGCGAGCTTTTGTGTTCCCTATATATATGGTTTTGGTTTGCAGTACTCAATGTTTGGGTCGATCATGGAGGTGGGTGGGATGATAGGTGCTCTGTTTTCTGGGAGACTAACTGCAATGCTTGGCAGAAAGAAAGTAAGCAATTTCGTCGATGATGAAGTCGTTTTATTATTGGAGAACAAAAATGGTTTATCGTTCATTGAAAAGGAGACGAGTTCCACGGAATGAAAGGGGATGGTGTTGTTTTGTTGTTGGAAATGCAGATTATGTGGCTTTCCCAGATATTCTCCACCATTGGCTGGCTTGCTATAGCACTTGCGCAGGTTAGTGACATGAGCCCGCTCTTTTGTTTTTCCCCCTTTAGGTTAAATAATCATTTGTCCTTACTCCATTTTCAAACTCAATTATTATTATTATTATACTTTTTAAAGAGGAAACGATATAATGACTTCTATATTTTGCTGAAATTAAAGATTCTAAATCTCTGTAAAATTAAGATATTAATTTCAGAAAGTCATAGTGGCAACAACCACCATGGTAGACACCATTAAACAATTCAAAGAGCTCCAATGTTCCAAGCGCAAGCAACCCTTCAAAGTAAATTTTAATTTGTAGACCTGTGTACGTGGATTTCTTTAATTTGAGTGGTGAACTGCCACAGTGAAAATGAAGAGTAATTATCAATTTTTGTAAATTCATCCCCATCCGAATATATATGATTTTAGTTCAGTCTCCAATTTACAAGTATTTATTGTACGTTCCACTGGATCAGAGTGAGTGGTGGCTGGTTGCTGGAAGGCTGTCCATTGGGTTTGGAGTTGGCTTCGTCACTTATGTGGTAAGTTAGGCTCTACATTTTTTTTTTCTTCCATATTTATTATTATTATATATCTTTTTCCATCCAATAATAATCCATGGTTACCAAAAAAAACAGGTGCCGATCTACGTAGCAGAGATAACACCGAAAGAGTACAGAGGAGCATTTTCATACGCCAACCAGGTTTGCCTTGCCCCTTTTCGTCACGGCATCCAAAGAAATTAAATTCCCACGTGCAGATATTCAATTCCGTTGATTATAACGGCTGCCAAACTGATTTTCTCAGTTGCTGGTGAATTGCGGGTTCTCGTTGGTTTATTTCGTCGGCAACGTCGTTTCCTGGCGCACCTTGGCCGTCATTTGTACGTAAAAACTCACAAATAGAATGTCCTCGTCTGAATAAAAATAAAAATTGGAGGATCGAATTTGATTATATATGAATTTTTTTTTTTATCGTGGGATGCAAATGCCAAATGCAGCTCTTGTTCCGGGGGCCTTGCAACTGGTGGGGATATTCTTCATTCCCGAGTCTCCAAGATGGTTGGTCAGTACTCCCAATCTTTTGCAACAAATCTTTTTCAGATTCTTTTATATTATTTAAATCTATCGAAATACTAAAAATTAGCAAAATGTTAACTTCCAGTTAGCAATTTTGTTAGTAATATTGATTTGGCAACATGATACTGATTTGGAAGAGACTCGTGAAAGTCAACACTCCAAAATTTTAGCATATTAACTAAAGAAAGAGTTACAAAATTATTAATGATAGCGTGAAATTGGCTAATATTTTGACGCATTAAGATTTTTTTTGATAATTAATGAAATGAAAAACGATGAGAAATCTAGTCAACTTTCCCGTTTCTGGTTTAGGCAAGAGTTGGACGGGTGAAAGAGTTCAAAGCATCTTTGCAACGGTTGAGGGGGAAAAATGCTGATGTTTCTGTAGAAGAAGATGAGATCCAAGTAAGTTGGGTTTGAGGATTGTGTTCTTGAGTTAATTGTGTAGAGAGATTCGATAATATTACTCATGATGCATGTGCTTGGAAATAATTGTAGAGTGCCATTAATGAAATGAAAAACGATGAGAAATCTAGTGTTGGGGACATTTTCAAGCGCAAATATGCTCACGCCCTCACGGTAAGACACGTATTACCTTTATCATCATCATATTGTAGTTATTGTATAAACACATTTCATTTTTATTAGGTACACTCTGTACATAAACACATCTCATTTTTATTAATATTAGGTTGGGATTGGTCTAATGTTTCTTCAACAACTTGGAGGCACATCGGGTGTTGCATATTACGGCAGCAGTGTAATCCAAAAAACTGGTAAATTAGTCAACAAAGTTTGATGAATTGGCTTAATTAATTAGTTAATTTCTCCATTATAATTGGCAGACAATTCGCATGAATGGCATGACTTAAAATATATTTGCTTGGCCAGGTTTTTCAACCACTATTGGGACCATAATCATTTCTGTAATCCAGGTGCTGTAATTTCAGCTAATTAATGAGAGAATTACCATTATTTGTGAAGTATATACTCTGTTTTTTTTATTGTTGCTGTCATTTTTTTGTAGTAGGTCCCAATTGCTGCCATTGGGATATTCCTGATGGATATATGTGGAAGAAGGCTTCTCCTCATGGTAATTTTGAAACGACAATTGAAATCGATGGATAATGTATAATCAGTTATTAATCTAATTAAGGTGAAATAAGTTTTTTTGTGTGTGTAGGTTTCTGCAGGTGGAATGAGCATATGTAGCTTCCTTGTAGGATTATCATTTGTATTACAGGTAATTAAGATTAGTTAATTATTATTCTAATTCTTTTGTGATTCTATTCATTATTATTCTAATTCTTTTGTTTTTCATAAATAGGGGCTTAACCTTTTCAAGGACTTCACCCCAATTTTGGCTATCACTGGAATTACTGTAAGTGAATTCCAAAAAAGACAACAGCTACCATGGGCTTTATTGATGTAATTATATGATATTAAGGGCCAATTTTAATCTTAAAAGAAATTCCCATCAACCTTTCAGGGATATTTCACTGCTTTCTCAATTGGGATGGGAGGAATCCCTTGGATTATAATGTCAGAGGTAAAGATCCAAATTAACTCATTAGTTCACTTCCTTCAGAGTTTATATTTACCAAAGTCATGTTCAATTATTCTTAATTACCTTGATGTGAAAAAAAAAAAACAGATATTTCCCATGAATGTAAAGGCTCTGGCTGGAACTCTCATCACATTAGTCAACTGGTCATCTTCTTGGGTCATGACTTACTCCTTCAACTTCATGATGCAATGGAGCCCTGCTGGTATACCCTTCTTTTAGATAAATCATATCTAGCTAAAATTTGGTTGACTTATTAAGTTGCAACGAGATTAATTTTAAAATTTTGTTTTTTTCCCAGGAACATTCTTTATTTTAACAGCAACTTGTGGGTTCACAGTTATGTTTACTTTCAAGTTAGTACCGGAAACAAGAGGAAGAACACTTGAAGAAATACAAGCATATATGACGAGGCTTTAATTTGATAACAAGCCCACTTATGTGTGTGTGCATATGTATGAAACTATGAATGAATATGTATTCAATACAAAAAAAAGGGCTTTTTTGTGACCAGGATTAAGGGTTGCCAAGGTAACAACATGGTCTAGACAATCTTCGGCGATCGTTTGTTGTTTTTCGTAACCTCTTTCGGTCACAAGAAGCTATAGTTTAGCTATTGGAAATTTAGTTCATGGAAGAGATTCTGGACGGGAAAAGGATCTAAGAATTTCCTTCATATTGATACAATTACTGTGATGAGCCTCTATATAAGAAGTGTTTTAGATGGAGATTTAAATTTCTCCATCTTTTGTATAACGGTTTATGGTCTATGGAGGGTAATTATCTTTTATAGAAAGATAAGATATTATAAGCTAATTATTCATATCATCCATAGAAAGATCAAATATAAGATCAACATCTACCATAATTGAAATCTTGGTACCATAGTGAAGCCAATCATCATTAGGATCGTCAAGGAATCGACAAACACCTAATTTTGAGTTCAGACTTCGGAGAAATGAGGTATGGAATTTACTACGAAAAGTGGTAAAGTTTCTCAATTTGAACTGTTTTGCAGTTTGAAATTTGCGGGGACCATTTTATAAATTTCATACTAATATTTTATTATAAGAGTTGGAATTACTTTGAAAAGGAAATTAAAGTAGCTTTGATTTAACGCCTTAAATGATTTTTTGAGAATTATATTTATCAAATTCCCAAATATGAGATTATAAGGTAATTTTAGGGTCAAGACTGAATTTGAATAAACATACTCATGTTAGCTGCAAAATGGATTTATTGAGGTGGTTGCAAGGATCGATTTTTTATTTTTATTGTGTGAATTAGGTATAGAATGATTTGGCCTGTTTAAAAATGAGTTTCGGGAGAAGTAAAATTGATGAACTCCTTTTTACAATTAATGAGATGATTACTTGTGCTAACTGTTGGAATGATTTGGCGTGAGGATTTCAGGAGTACAATGAGACAACATTATTTCATACATCGGTTGAGCGAATGGATGAATTAAAATATGATTGTTGTGATTCATATTATATCACTATCTAGAAAGGCTTTACACCTAGTGATGGCAATTTGAACTCGCCACGCGCGTATTATTCGAATTGATCCGTGATATGATGGGTATTAATCGATTCGCAGTAGTGTGGGGCGGGGCATGAATGTCTATTTTCGGCCGTTCATGCCCCGTCCCATCCCATTTTTAACCCTTTCTATCTTAATTTCCTACAATATTGCTCATATTTTGATTTTTCTTCAACTACTTAGAGTACATCTTCAACTTGTTAGACTCAATTACCCATTATATTATCACTATTTTTTTAATTCATAAAGTGTTTTCTCATTTGTTTTATCGTAAAAACTAAAATTTGCGTTTATCTTTTTCAAATAACATGTAACTGTGGGTCGACCCGCCCAGCCACGTTCCCGCACGGGTTTTACCCCCCCCCCCCCCCGACTCGTAGTAGCGTGGGGCGGGGCATGGGTATTGAGGTACCCGCCCCGCCTCATTGTAATCGCTACCTACACCTGTCACTACTTAATTCCATCTTGCTGGCTTCGCAAGACCTGACACCTACCTGCATTCGCATGGATTGTCAGGTGTTGTCACTTGCCCTGAAACAAGATCCTTTCACTTGGCCTTGGCTCTACTATGTCTCACTGGCTCGGATGTCTTCCATCTTGCGGTCATCTCTTTGGATTCGTGTGGAGTTCATCCCTTGACGAGCGATGGCTGAGCAAGCTTGCGGATTGGGTGGCTTGTCAGGCTAGGTTGTGTTCATTATCTGTGGAATGGGTGTTAATTTGTAATCTTATTGTCCGCTTTTGTAATGACGCTTGGTCTCTGCTTCATCGAATGAAATATAAAGTCCCTTATTGTCAAAAAAAAAAAAAAACTTTCCCATTCTGTTGTCCTTTCCTCCTTTTCTTTCCTTCGGGAACGTTGTAAAGTTTATTGGCATATGGGTTTCCCTCTCAACTTTTACCCCTTCCTCCCTCATTCCGCCTTTTGGAAACACAAGGTTGGGGTTGGAAGGCCCAATTGGATGTCTTAAGTCCGAAGACATTGTTGGGTTTGAATTGGTTCATGAAACCGACAATCCGCATATATTGCTTGTGGAGCCAGCTTCACCTCTCTTACACTATGTTTGGGAAGGGGTTAATGGGAGGGAGAGCAAGTTTGGGGTAAATGTATTTTCCAATGCATTTGTTCCCATTTGGATAATTATGAATAGTGTAGGGGTGCAATTAGAGGGGCAAATCCATTATTCTTATTAACTCCCAATTTGGGGTGCAAATGGAGAGAGAAAGAGTGGAAGGATGGATAAAAGATAAAGTTCATATATATTTTATGTTATATATATGATTATGTTTTATGATTGTTGTGACTAAAAATGTCATGTGATCATTATTCTACAATAATACTTATTATTATTATGATACTAAAAATAATTATTATAATGATTAAAAAATAATTATTATGATTTTTACATTGTTTTCGGGAGACATTATTTGATATACGATGATAAAGTTTGTCAAATTGGCTTCAACTGTTTGACTCGATCAAACAAGTGAGTCAAGATTCGTCAAGTCGAATCGAGATAAGATGGTCATTTATGGTTAAAATCGATTTGATAATGTCCGTTCCACTCCGATTTAACCATCATTTTGACAAATCAACGCCTGGGTGGGAGACATGAGCTAGCTATATGTCTTGACCACGGATTGAGCTTCAACCATAGTCATTCGAGGTCGCTCAACCAATTATTATTATTATGGACCCAACATTTTTATTTATGAATATTTATAATTAATTACTACTTGAGCATTAATATTTTAATATTATTTTATTGAACTATATATTTTAATATTTATCAATATTTTTATTTTTATTTCATATTTATTTATGTGTGAATATTTTATAATAATTTTTTACAAATTTGATATATCTATTTTATAATAATATACTTTACTTACTTTTCACTAATTTGCACCCCTACTTTTTCATCCAAACAACAATTTACCCCTCCACTTACACCTCCCAACAACTTGCACCCCCAGCAATTTACCCCTTAACTTGTGCCCTCGAATTTTCACCCTAATTGCCAAACACATTGCTAAATTCTTCTAAGCTCTCTTTGATCCTCCATATTCATTTATTGATTCATGGTCGATATGAGAGGTTATTCATGGACCTCGAATTAACTTATACGTAATTCTTGACCACATCATTTAATTACAACCGTAAATTTTGAATTAGTGCCACAAAAATAGAATTAATAGAAGAAGTAATTATTGGTAAGACTCATAATCTATGTTTGACCCGAATTTTAGAAGTGTTTTTTATTTGGAAAGCTTAAGTCGGGCATAATACGTCTAAAAGCCTTTTTTTTTTGAACTAAAAGCTCCACTTTTGAAAAATCTGCAAAGTGCATTTATGACAAAAAAGCATAGGCTCCGATTTGGAGCTTATGTGAAAAGGTGTTTTAAGTATACAAAATTATATTTACCATATTTTAATTTTTACATGAAACATAATTTGAATTCATTTATATAATTAAAAAATAATAGTAATAATTTAAAATAAACTAATGACATCCATTTTGACTATTTTTTTATTTTTTATTTTTTACACATATTTTCTATTAGAAATATTTTTTTTATTAATTTTACGTGACTTCTTATAGTAAGCTAAATAAACTTAGAGTAGACCTAGTAGCAGTACTTGAAACTAGAGTTTCACTTAAGAACTCTAGGGACATAATAACGGGGCAGTTTGGTAACTGGGAACATTTGTCTGATTATAGTAAATCTGTTTCTGGTCGAGTTTGGTTGTTTTGGAGGAATGGTTTGAAGGTGACACTGCTGGAATCGGGGGAGCATTTTCTTCATGTTAAAGTGGTTAGTGGTGATGAGGTAGCTATTATAACAGCAGTATACAGTCCTAACAAAACAGTGCAGAGGCAGCAATTCTATTCTGCTTTTGCTAAGTGTAAATGTGATGATCTTCCTTGGCTGGTTTTTGGGGATTTTAATGCGATTGCAGAGGTTAATGAGTCGTCCAATCAGGTGGCAGTTACTCAGAGTATGGTGGACTTTAGGAAATGGATTGAGGATATGCAGCTTATTGATCACAAAGTTGCGGGAACTTGGTATACTTGGTGGAATAAACAAGAGCATAATCCGATCGCCAAGCGTATCGACAGGGTGTTGGTCAATGGCCCCTGGTTAGACATCTTTAAATTCAGTTCTGCTTGTACCATCAGTCCTGGAGTATCTGATCACTGTGGATTGCTTATTCATACTGCTGTTCGTTTGAAGAGTCTCCCTAAACCCTTCAAGTATTTTAAATTCTGGAGGGCTCATCCTCAGTATCAAGCCATATTGCAAGAGGCATGGGAGGGGGATTCACAGGCTGCTCCTTTTCAGAAGGTTCTAAACAAACTGAAAAGGCTTCAGAGGGGGCTGGTTGCACTTAATCGATCTTATTACTCAGACATATCAGAGAGAACTCGTGAAGCTGAAGCTGCTTTGGTGGAAGCTCAGGATCAAGTTCTTTCTGACCCTAGCTCTATCAACATTGGGAAGGAGGCGGATCTGGCTATAAAGTGTTCTGATTTGCAGGCTGCAGAGGAGTCTTTCTACAGACAGAAATCAAGGGTGGGATGGGTTACAGAGGGGGATGGTAATTCACGGTTCTTTCATAATTATGTTAAGGTCAGGAACAAGAAGCTCACCATTGATCATCTTATTGATGATGAGGGCCAGCGCGTCTCGGATGTGAAGCAGATGGGTCACTTGGCAGTACAATTTTATAAAAAATTGCTTGGGGAGCTGAACCAAGAGGTCCTAGATGTGCCAGTCAGCTATTTTGATAGGTTGCTCCTCAACAAACTCTCTCCTGAAGATGCTGCCATTTTATCTGGTCCTGTTACAAGGGAAGAGGTGCGTGGGGTTTTCTTTGCTATGGCTCCAGATAAAGCCCCGGGTCCCGATGGATTTCCTGCTGACTTTTATAAGTCAGATTGGAGCATTATTGGACAAGATGTGATTGATGCTGTTCTTTCGTTCTTTGAAACTGGATTGCTCCCCCCTGAGGTAAATGCTACAATTCTCACTCTTATACCTAAGCTGCAAAATGTTGAAAAAATGAAGGATTTCAGGCCTATTTCCTGCTGTAATGTCCTGTAT